CGATTTTTTGTTTATTCATAAAACTTTGTAGTAGTAGGCATTCGCACAAAATAGTAAATATGTAGTTTTGAATTGATAAATTACGTTATTTGTTATTTGGGATATTTATATTTTTTCGTTAGGTATTTCTATTTTTATAAGACTAATTTCTATAAGACAAGAGTAGAATATATATATTTTTTTGTGTTTAAAATAAATAAATTTAGAAAATAATTATTTATTTAAATGTTAATAAATATATAAATAATTAGGTTTTGTATGTTTACCTATATATTATTTACGCTCTTCAGGTCCAGGTATTTTTAACTGTTTAATTAAATATCATCAAAAAGGTATTTCATCTTAAGTAACAATCCTATAGGTTGATGACTACGCGACTACTTTTTCTTTGTGATACCCGTCGAACGAGGTACCGAGGTTCCGAGACCCGATACAAAATATTGTATCTATGAGTATAGACGTTTCAGTAAAATATAATACCAAATCTGAAATCCACGCGTTCAGTAAATATTCCGAAGCGAGTCCGAGTATTACCGATTATCGTGATTACATGTATCCAAACTTGGAGAAGAATCTCTACTTAAAAAGTAATCAGTATCGGATACTTTTCTCATCGATTACTCAGTATTCGTTACTTATTCAAGTAACGGATAAAAAGTAACGAATAATTACAATATTGAATAAGATGTTTGTTCTTCTCAGGCGTAGCATTCTTCAGCAATACTGGAATCGATAAAAGAGCGGAATGCACAAGAACAGTTCTTAGAATTTCATCGAAAATCTTTTATTTTAATCATGCCTGGGCCAATTTCATGTAGGTTTGTCTTCTCATTTCACGTTGAAGTCTCCAGAAGTAGTAGCCTCGATAACAGAGTGGGATGTGCAGAAACAGTTCTGAGAGTATCGTTGGTAGTTTATCGAAGAGTTGATATCAAACTGATACGATTTCAAAAAGGTCCGCCTCGTCTAACTTCATAACTAGTCTTCAAATATAGGTACTGCCTTCAGTAATAGAACGGATACATAAAGATCATGATATCGTTGCATTCTTGTCTTAAATTGGGGCTACAGTTAGTCCAATTTCAAGTAGGTTCGTGTCTTGCACAAACATAGTCCTCTTAACTGATGTTGCATCTGGGGCTAATTTCAAGGTTCGTCTTCTTACCTAATATTGCAGTCTCCAAAAGTACTGGCCTCGTTAATAGAGCGGGATGCACAAAAACAATTCTCAGAATATCGACGAGTCTCCTAACCTTGGATTCGATGTGACGGATAAGAAATCTCCGGAAGTAACAAAAATCTGTTAATCTAAATTCACGGTACATTTTCCTTAACCGCTGAGAGGGCACCCAGGCAGACTGGTCGACCATATTAATGTTAGATGTCAATACAACAATGGGGAATTAGGCAAATTACTTCCGAATTTTTTCCTGTCTATGCGAGATACCATGAAAATTCTCATTTAGATAATGATTTAATTGTACACAACCATTCAGTCTTCAGTTGTCACGAAGTGCCTGAACCGTGAAATTAACTTTTAATTATTTAAAGGAATAAAATTTGTGTTTGTTGTTTCTGTGAATTAACCGAAAGACGAGAAGCACTGATATCCATCTATTCAATTAATCTTGTGGTTTATTTTAATATATTGTAAGTGCACGTACAATAATAAGCTTCATTAGCATAATTAACCTTAAACATTTCCGTAGCTGGTAAAATTAATTTTCTTTTATTTCATTCCCGATCGGGGGACTCCGTTTACTTGAACGCAATGTTAATTGGCGGCGTTCATTTTAAATCATTTTTACTGAATTATTTCTAATAGCTTTAAAGTAAAAAATCCATTTCTCAGGCCAAACTTAGATACACAACAGGTTCTGCAAGGGTATTAAATATGGATCGAAGCAGGCTGGTTTCCAGCGATCTAGAGATAAATTATTAATTAAGGTAATAAGATTATCGGTGATACTTTAACGCTACAATGAAACATTGACGGCAGCATAGACAGAAAAGGCTGTGATTAGAAGATATACATAAAATTATATACTGGAGCTGATTACATTACTACTTAACTATTGGCATGTGACAAACATGATTTAATATATTTGATATTTTTTAAAAGAAACCTATTTTTTTATTGCTGATTAGGTGTCAGAATTAAATGGGTTTAATGTTATAATCTATTTATATTTATAGCGATCTCGGAATGCTATATATTTAATTGCTCTGTCAACACTATTTCGTTAACGGTTTATCGCCTATAAACTTTAATACACATACACTAGGTTAGGTATTTATTATTTCAGGAGCAACATTCCAAAGTAACTGCTTAATTTTATCTCCGAGGACCCCGCTTGCGTTTAACACATCATCGGTTACTGTAATGATAATTATGTTCTACTCAGTATCAGTACCTATTTAGAGATAACTAATGTCTATCTAACCATATTTTAATAGCAGTTATGCCAAGTTCCATTTGTTCTCTAACTATACCTATCCCAGGTATCGCCAAAAAAGATGACTAAAGTATCATCTGCATATGATAGTATTTTACCACTAATATTTAAGACAATAATTAACTCTAACATATTGCATTTGATCAGTTAAATAACTAATAAAAAGCTTTAGTTCATTTCCTCGAATTCCATAACTATGCAGCACATTAAGAAGCTTGTCATGAGGCACTGTATCATTTTAATACCAATGTTAGTAAAATATTGGTTACAATAATTCGACATATCCTTATTGTTATCATAAGATTGACCATTTTCATTGACATTGTTTTGATTAAGTAAAATAATATCTTTATAATACTCATGCTTACATTTTTTTAACAGCTTATTCAAATTATTTCTATATATTTTGTACTCTATCTCCAAATTCTCCGAATAATTATTTATCAGCCTTTTTTTCATTTTATCTCTAATTATTATTGACTTGGTTAGACCAATTGTAATCCAAGGTTTGATTTTCTTAGGTACTTTAATATTAGTTGTATTGATATAAGTGCTCTGAGGCACCTTTTTAAAAAAAATTTCAGTAAATATATTAGTTGCAAGTTGAGAATTATTTAATTGCAAAACATGATTCCAGCTTTCATTTTTAATCAAATTAATGAATTTGTTAGGTATTATTAATTTTAGAAAATTGTTTAATATTAGGTTGCTTGATTGCGTCACAACTTATAGAATCTTTACTAAAATGTATCATCACAGCGTAATGATCAGTAATGGAGCATTTAAGTACTATAAAGGATTCGATTTTAAAACTATTGACATCATAATTACTTTTTACAAAAATATGGTCAAGGCATGCAGCAGATTCTTCGTTTAGCTAACATTGACACATAATTGTTCACATATTCATTTTCTTCTAATATATTTATATTAACATCACCAACAATAAGTTGAAAATAGGCACCAACTTTATTTAAGTTTAAATAATCATCAATATCATTGATAAAAGAAACTATGGATTGGGTCTATATAATGCAATTATCCTAAATAGGACACTATTAATATTGATTTCCATAATATTCAGCGTAACCATATAGTATTTCCAACTTTTTATTATGAATTGACGTTTCAAGACCCTTTTTTGCAATAATTATAACTCCATCATTTTTATTAAAATCAGCATGATTGTAAATTGTATTATATCCAGGAATATTAAACTGACCTATAGAATTCACTTGAAAGCATTCACTTAAGATAATATCATAACTATAATTTAATTCATAGGTTACAAGAGTAGCAAGTAATTCATCAAAATTCTTATACTACGTATATTAAGGTGAAACACACTAAGAATGGCATTTGTTTCAAACAGAAGCTTACTGTCATTAATAGCAATATACCTTCCCATGCGATTACCTTCGATGCAATCGAGTTCCTGCAAAATTAAATCTTCATGCTTCGTTAGATTTAATTTTTCTGAAATTTCATTAATTTGAAACGGACTGTCAAGTTGATAAAATTGATAATTTTCTGTACTTGCTTCTTTTTGTTTTTAATCGAGATGGGGAAAACCCTAAAGCCACTTAAGTTGTTCGGGAAATTTGTGCCGTATATAGTGATGATGCGTGATTTCATCCTTAAAGACATGAATCGTTCCGGATTGAATTTGATGAAGAGCAATTGAATCGACTCCTTCACCTGCATTCGATGGAAAAAGTTCAAAGACGCGGGTCCCATGCACATGTTTTGAAGAAAACAATAAGAATCAACGCTCTGCAATTGCCGCTGGTTTGCTCCGTTGTCATCGATTAACACGTGATCATAAGGAACGTTTTCTTCATCGTATTGTCATTGATGATGAAAAATGGTATCTGTACGTGAACTTAAAATAGCGGAAAGAATGGTTTATCCCCAAAAAACCAAGCAACTCCGCGAACAAGACCAGAATTTCATCCTCGAAAGACAATGTTACGCGTTTGGTGAGACTGGAAAGATTTTTTATTACGAACTCTTACCAAACAGTCAAACCGTCAACGTAACATGACAATGCGCGATCACTTATCGCCAATATGACCAAAACGGCCATTGGGGAGTTGAATTGGGAAGTTCTGCCCCACCCAGCTTACTCTCCCTATCTCGCACCTTCTGGTTTTCATCTTTTCCGCTTTTTGTTGATCTCCTAACGGATGCTTTTTTTTAACAACGATAATGAGTAAGATATTGTTGTTGTTGGATGAGTTTTTCGAGTCAAAACCGAAAATTTCTACAGAAGAGGCGTCCACAAAATTGTTGAACGCTGGGAGGAGGTCATAATTTAAATATCTTAAATTTGAAAAAAAAGCTACATTACTTATCCCCCAAATATTCGACACTTTCAAAGTTCTACTGATATTTGAAAAATATATGTTATTCTATAAGAAAAGTTACAATAACTGTATAATGTATGATTAATTTATGATGAAATACATTATACATATCTTTTTTCTCAATTTTTTTATATTCGTAGATATGACTGGTTACATTATCTGATTTATTTGGTTTCAGAATCTGCTCCAACTGACAGTAACCCTGACATAATGGGAGTATCTGAGGAAATGACGCCCAATGCAGGAATCGAACCTAGGCCTCCCGGTCCGGACCAGAGCGACGGCAGTGATCCGGAACCAGACGAGTTTGCACCGAAAAGGAAACAACGAAGGTACAGGACTACTTTCACCAGTTACCAGTTAGAAGAGCTGGAGAAGGCATTTTCTAGGACCCACTATCCGGACGTCTTCACTAGGTAAGATCAATAACGATAATATCACTACCAATAATTATAAGCTATATTAACAACAAAAATTAATATCATACTGTTTATATTATTTCCGTATTTAATATATGCTTGTTTATTCTTATTTTGTATATCAACCTCATACAGATTTAGTTTCTTTTCTGTTTTAACTCATATATACTTTTTTGATTACTTTTACCTGAGGAATATCTGCTTAAAGTTTGTACGTCTTCTCGTGCAGTGCCCCGTATATATTTTTTCTGAGGTTAGTAGTTAGTTTATGTCTTCAGAAACAAAATACACAGAACATACTTAAGACGAAAGAACTATGTAAATATGTTATGATCCTCAACACAATCTAGTTTTTTATACATCTTTATGTATGTTAAAATAATCAATTTCGGACATGTGGCCTTCATTCGTACTTGACCGAATCTAAATCTATTAGCGAATTCCTTTGTGTATATTAATAGTTAGTATAACATAAATCATTGTGACATATCTTGGAGCACTTTAATAGTCTTCTTCCACTAAAATATCGCGACTGAAATTCTACATAAATGATTGCGAAGCAATCACCTTGGAGGTTGAGATGTGTATACGAAGAATGAGTACTCTTGACCGATATAAGAGCAACTTTAGACATAGGAGTAGAGTTAAAAATCGTTAGAACCAGTTGATTCTAATGATTTTCTCTAAAAAAATGACAGGTATCGATTATCTTCAAGCAGAAAAAGAAATAAAGATTAATGTTGCATGCATTATTAAACTAATTCGATACAATTTTCTAATTGTATTTTTTTGAAACTTTGTTCGCCATTTAAAGTAGCACAAACTAAAAATTAATAGAAAAGTTAAAAAATTTTGTTCTTAGAGCACACTTAATAACAATCCATAGGATTTTTTTCATTTAATTTAAATAAAACATTCCTATAATATGCAAATTTAACTTAGAAAATATATTCATTATTTGAATGCAGTGTAACTTTTAAATATACAGGGTGAATCACAAACGGCGACCAAAAATGAAATCCCGTATTCTTTGGCGAATTTTAAGGGGAGTTTTTCGTATAAAATTTTTATTTAGGACGCTTCGTTAAAATAAAGGGCGTTAAGCTTAAAACAATGTATTTATTTTTTTTTAAATAGTTTAAAAACTAGTGAGTGAAATAATTTGAAATGGGGTACATGTATTTACGTAAACATTATCCAAAATCTGAGGCCTTTTCCTAAAATTTAGATGCTCCAGTGCTTCAGTGGCGGAGAGGGTATCAGTGTCATATTTTTATAAATAAAATAGTACGCCACTGCTTTACGAGGACGGTGTAAAGACGAATACTCCTTTTCGAATAATTGTTACTACTGTTATTCTCAAGAAGCTGTGTATTGTATTGCTAATTAAAACCCTAAACAAACATTAAAAAGCCTACATTATCATAATAACGTGCAACCAACAAATGAGAAACACACCATATTTAAAATTGAGACAGACACCGCAGACATATGACATCACATCCTGTTATTGTGTGAATGTCTCGATTTCTGAAATGATACATTTTGTGTTTGCAACTGAATCTTCTTAACAACAAACTCGGAAAGAAACCTTTCGTCTTTAGCAATAAATTTGAAAAAATTGAATCATTGTGGAAACCAGAACAATTAATTCATTCTTACACTATGTTTTTCTGAACCATATTGCCTCAATTTTTAATATCAAACATGAACGGTGATGAAGATTTTTCGGAAAAAATGTCTAGTAACAAGTTACAGATAATATTTATTGATTATATACATTGATTTTGGCCTGATAACAGGAACCGGAAAAAATTGTTTAATGAAATTTGATACAGTGTGTGGTAGTTTCTAAAAAGCTTCATTACTAACCAATCAAATATTTGTTTATGTCGCAATAACAGTATATTTATTGAGAGAAAAATGGTACGCTACTGACTTTTTCAACAGTCGAAAGCAAATCCTTAAAGTTTTATATAAAAAAAAACGAAAAATTGGACGATTTAAATCGTATTACAAAAGAAATAACGACTACAAATAATATGAAATAAATATTCTTATACTTATTAAAGAAGAAAGCTCTCATAATTAAGAATAGTATTTATTTTGATATCTTAATTCACACATTTCGTTATAAGGCTTCCGTTTAGAAATTAAATAAAGGCAGATACGCGTTTTGTTTACGATCTTGCTAAGATAATGTGAGGATGTTTTATTTTATGAAAAAATTTTCTCAAGCATCCACCAGTAGTTTTAAAGACTGGAAAATTTTTGACGTGTACTGATGATATTGGAAGCCACAACAACAGTTACTTTATCTCAATTGGAACATGCCGTGCTTCTTGAAGTACATGGCCACCCGAAAAATTGGTGCTTTATTTCTATTAAAGTAAGATTGTATTAAATTATTATCAGGTTTATCCATATATTCAGAGACTGCTAGCATTATTGCTAGATGATTTTCCTTAACGACAATGGGTATAAAACAGCTCATAATTATTTTTTAAATCTCACGTTTTTTTACTGGCGATACCAATTTCATCCGTAACTCATACATAACAACAACCATTAATGGGATTATGAAAATCGTCAAGCAATAGGAAAAGTTAATTATCAATATCAGTTATTATTAAGAGATTGGACAGATATTATTGGAGAATTTCTTATGTGGACCATTTTCTCTTCCCTTAAGATTAGATGGCAACACATACCGTGACTATGCAAAAAAAATTGGCGGTGCTTGTTGTTGTTGTACCCCTTAATCGGCCATATCGACTATTGCTTTTGCGTGATAGATCACCTTATTTGATTTAGGTAACGGAAATTTCTGAACCAAAGGTATGAAAATAGATGAATAGGTCAACACAACCAACCATGGCCCTCTAGGTCACCGCGCTTCAATCCCCTATAGATTATTTCCTTTGGAGACATTTAAACATTTTAGAGTGTTCAACGCAAATTGGCAGTTCATACATATAATGCAGTTTGATGGAAGTGAAGTTAAATGTACTCAGCCTAAAATGATATAATTTTTTTTTTTTCTGGATACCTGATAATATTCAAAAATTTGATCAGTTTATAAAAATGGAAATAAAATCAGGATATTTCTAATTTTTGCTCAATTTCTATTTTATATAATTTACTAAATTCTTTAAGTAATTCAGTCGCATTTATAATAATGCCAGTAATAAAATAGTCCAACAGCACGGATTTACGAAAGGTAGATCAAAAACTTCCAACTTAATAATAATAAATAGTGATACAGTTTGAAGTTGAGCCCATTGCTAAACAATTGCAAACAAATGTTCTTTACACAGTCCTTTTGAAGGCATTCCACAGACTTGGTCATGAAAAATTACTGGGAAACCTTAATTTTGGTCTCTTGAGTTCCCTATTAAATTTATTTGGATGACATTGGCCCAGCAGATTCCACTATGTTCTACTTAACGGGTGTAAGTCTGTGGATTGCTCAGCCACATCTGGAGTTCCACAGGGATCTGGTCTGGGGCCCCTACTATTCGGCACTTTCATCAACGATATAACTAATTGTTTAGATATTCATTACTTTCTCTATGCTGAGGATTTAAAAGTATTCTCAACCATTAAGAACGTCGACGTTTTGAAAATAATTTTATTCAAATGACAAAATAGTTTTTAAGTACGTACTTTTTTGTATTATCGTACTTTTATCCATTATTTTTTTTAATGTTTTGTAATGCTTTTTGTGTTTTCCCTGTACAATGTATCGAAAAATAAAAAATTAAAATCGGTTTAAAATTTTTGAAAAATATTATTCTTCATTAGGTATAAGAATTTTAATATCATAAGTTATTCGAATGTGTCATAATTTGTTCGAAAATGGCTGATATTAAAATTTGAAAGGAGCCAACATTTCTAATTTTTTTATGAATCTTTAAGGATTTTCCTTCAAAACTTGAAAAAAATAATATTTTCTCAATAAATATACTATTGTGGTGTTTACGGAATGTGTAACAGTTTTAAATCATATGGTGATGTAAAAAATTAGTAGATAATTCAGAAAAAGCTTTCTAGAACCTACCATACCAAATTTCAATAAACAATCTTTTCCGCTCCCTGTTGTATATGCAAAATTTTTTTTTTAAATACCTATAAAATCCTGTAACTCGGAAACTGGGCCACTTAGGCCATATGTTGAAAGAACCTTTTGTTCTTAGAATCATCTTAGAAATCAACTTTATTATCCAAACGTACTCTGTATATTAAAAAGATAGTTACGTCGTAGAAATATAAAAGTGAAAAAACTTGGTAACTTTTGGTAGTTGGTACAAGTCAACCAAAAAGATGTAAATCCCCCATATTAAGTTGTAAACGGCTTTATCGGTGCTTAACCCGGATGCAGTTTTAAGAAGGAATTTCGTCGTTAGAAATTTCTAAGCCACACACAAATCTTGGTTATCGGAGCGAGTAAAATGAGGATATCGTGTTAGGGTTCCGCAACCATAGATAAAGCGGATAAAGCAATCGAGCTGGCCAAGACAAACATTCCGAGATGTCTGCAATTTGTCCGGCTGGCGCGGCGTGACATTGTAAAGGTCTACCAATTAGGCAATTAGCCCACTAAAAAATTGATTGTATCTACGCCGGTCGGCCAGAATTCGGGCTACTTAATGCTTTCTACCCCTTTCTTTGACCGCTGGGCACCTGAGTTTATGTTTATTAGTCGTCGGGCCCTCGTGCCAGTCGTTCATCTGCTTAAATTATCTCTTAAAAAATATATCTTTAAATTACTTCTAATTATCTTAGGGTTTCTGGGAGAATTTTTCAAAATCATATGACTCAGTCAATGTTTAGTCAAAACAAAGGCATTTGCCTAAATATATTATTAATGTTATTTTTTAAATGGGGCCTCATAAAAATGTTGTCCTTGAATTGCAGAAATATATTAATTCATGTATCGTGTCTAGATTGTATTGATTACAAGACTAAGAGGTACTTTTTCGAAATTTATTTATTAA